TCATCACTGGTTGGGGTGCAGGGTACTGTGCAGCTAGTTAAGTATCACCTCTCATAGAGGCGGGCTCTGTTCCACCTCGGCACGCTGTCTTCTCACAGGGTTTTTCTTTTGATTTTTGTTCTCCTGCCTGGTGGGGGGGGGGTCAGTGTGCCCCTTGGTTTAGTCACACCCTTTTTGTATCTTTGTGGTCCTCCGCTAGGCCCCTGTGAGTGTATACGTCCCGGGGTTTCAGCTTTAGCAGTTTACTTGGTAGTTTTTGGGTGCCAGTTAGTAGTATCCTGGCTGGGCTTCCCTTGGCGAGATAACGCGACTGAGGGCCCTTGGGAAACCCCGTGGGGGCTCTTTGGTCCGATGGATGCAACCCCTGGGTCCCCTCTTGCCTCATGCGAGTCTGAAGGTTGCTCTGTCCCCTTGTCCCAAGGTGACACTCACTGGTTGTGCCATGACATGCTGCCTGTTGGGTTGCCGACATTTTCGACCCAGAGTCTTGCTAGTTTTGTTCCGTGTTTGTACTCCAATTCACCCAGTCCACTGATCATGATATGTGAGATTTGGCATTACTTGCTCGGTTTAGGTTGCTACAACGTGCCAGGTTGGTTGCTACCCCGGATGCCCCAAGACGTCCTGTTTTGGTTATACGGACCAGTACATGGGGTTGTTAGTTGCTTCGACTTTGGTTCCATCTGCACCCCCTTGTCCTTCCCTTTCTGTTGTTCGTCCTAGTCCTCTTCCCTTGCTTCTGGCTCAGAAGTATCTGAGGGTTTTAGTGTCAGGGCAGGGTCTAGTTGGTGTTGAGACTCGGGCGGTTTTGGGGAATGCCCCTTCCGGTGTGGCGGGAGGCATTCGAGCCTGGTTCTCCAGCTGAAGCTTCTGGGTCTGACCAGTGGGACCCCTTTGTTCCTGCTTTTTCGGCGGCTCCTGCCTTTTCTTTTGAGGCAGGGGGTTTGGAGGACAGCTCAGCCCCCGGGTCCTTATAGAGGAGGTTCCCGGGGCGAGGAAGGGGTTGACTTGGGGGCCCTGGGCCCCGTTGGACCCCGCTTGGGTTTTTATGCCCTCTGAGTGGGGCTTGGTATTACAAGGAGTTGAGTTTTCCTTTTTCTCTTCTTTGTACAAGTTGGATTTGGCATCTACCTCTCCTCAGGTTCGGTTCCGTGCTCCCAGGGGTTCTTCGGTTCTGCCTAACAAAGGTTTTCGGCCTCACGCATCCCGCCTCGTGGTGTGGGAGGCCCTTGCGGCTTACCTCCTGCGTGACACCGGATTATGCATTCATAATGGATCCTTCTTCATGTATGCATCATCTTTTCCTTACTCTGCTCATTATGAGATTCCAGAGTCGTCTTGTCTTGCAGACTGCGTCTTTTTCTTGTTGGAGGCTTAGCATTTGTTCTGTCGGTCCTGCACCCTTGAGTGGCTCAAGGCTCATACGGTGATCCAGGTTTTCCTGGGGGATGAGATTGAGCACCTCAGTGCATGCTTGTTCACCCCTGCTCTTCCTCGGGATATCGGTGTTGTGGAGCTTCATGTGCAGGTTCCCTCCCTTTCGGCTGCATTAGTCGCTGGGGACTTGCGTGCCCATGGCCTGTTGGCTTCGATCTTGTGGTTCTTTTCCTTTCTTGAGCTGTCCTCGGACTGGCTTGAGGATGTGGAGACGTTTGAGGCTGCTCCTGGGTCTAGTGTGTTGGCCCTGGCATTGCACGTGTTGTCTGCTCTTTTGAATCTGTTCGCAACAGTCCTGCTGGATGCGGTGTCGCTGTTTTTTGCTTTCCGTCTCACGTGTCTGCAGGCAGTGCTTGCTTCTTCTGTGGAATCTGCTTGGGCCCTGGCTTTTAGGATTTCTTCACCTTTTTACCTGTTGCTGTTTACAGAGTCTGCAGTTGTGCAATATCTGCAGGCAGCTTCTTCTAGTTGCCGTTTCATGTCGGACTTGTTGGTTCTCCGGGGAGGCCCGTGGTGGGTCTTTCCAGAAGGGTTATGCCAGGGCTCAGGGCTCCCGTCGTGGTAGGCCAGTGGAGCCAGCTTCGGAGCTGGCACAACCTTCGGAACTGTCTTCATCTGGTGATCTACCCATTTAGTTTTTATTATTTTTTCCAATATTTTGACTATTACACTTGTCAATGATACAGGTCTATAATTGAGGGGGGTTCTTCCCTGCTGCCACTTGTGTAGATTGGAACTATGTTAGCCTGTTTCCATACATCTGCTACGACTCCTGTACACAAGGATGTCTGAAAAATCAGCCGAAGTGGTATGCTGAGCTCAACTGCACATTCTCTCAGAACCCATGGTGAAATTCCATCTGGGCCAACTACTTTGTTCTTGCTTAGCTCCTTGAGCAATTTGTTTCACTTTGTCTCTAGACATCTCTATGTGCTCTTATGTTATTCTCTGGAATTCTTATTGTGTCTGATTTTCTGAAGATCTCATTTTGTACAAATACACTTTGGAACTTTTTGTATAATGTTTCACACATTTCCTTTTCATTTTCCATGTATCTGTCCCCCATTTTCAACCTCTGAATATTATCCTTTACCTGCAGCTTGCTTTTAATGAATTTATAGAAAAGGCTTGTGCGGCACTGGTGGAGCCGGTGCAGCTTGCGTTCGGCATTGGTGTTACTTTTGCACCATTCCGCAAGCTGTCTCGTGCGTTGTTTCACCTACGGCCTGCTCATGCGCTGCCTGAGCTGTTCTGGTTGTTGGACCAGGTGCTCTCATTTCTCTCTTCCTCGGTTTGTGGTGGCCCCTTCGGTTCAGGATTGTTTGGTGAAGGCTCTTTTCTTGTTGGCATTGGCCTCTGGGGGTCGGGTCGGGAAGCGTCATACTCTCGAACGGCGCAGGGATTTCTGCTCTTTTGGTCCTGGTGGTAGGTTTGTTCAGTTGCAACTCTCTCCTCTGGTGAAGAATGAGATTTTACTGAGGAGGTCCTTGAGGTTGCTTTCCGGAGGGGTTCTTGGGTTGTTAATGCTTAGTTGATCAGGCCAGGGATACATCATGCTTGCGGTTGCGACTCTCCGCAGTTACCTAAGCGCCATGGCCTCGATGGCTGGGAATGCATTTGGGGTTGACCCGGTTTCCCTTCTTCTCTGTTCCGGGGTTCGGGTCTCCCAGGTTGTCCGCAGGGTAATTCGGTCCAGCCAGCCTGCGGTCTACCTTCGTGCCCACGACATTCGTAAGTTTGCTGTGTTGGCTGCCGTCTTCGGTAACATGTCTTTGGCTGACATTCGGGCACAGGGTTTTTGGAAGTCGAACAGGGTCTTGGCCACTTGCTACCTTGTTAATGTTACTGTACCTAGTTGGGCCTGTGTCGCATTGGGTCGGCTGATGCAGCCAGTTGTCTCGACTTCGAGTTGAGGAGCGAGGGCCGACTGCCTCCCGGGGTAAGTCCCTATTCTTTTGTCTTTGGGTAAGTAGCTCCAGGGAGTCGAAGGGGCTCTCCCCAGAAAACCAGCATTGAATGAAATGAAATGCCATTTTCTGTGTGAGACATGGAGGCTCCCAGGCAACCCTTCCTCAGGTCGGCAGTTTTTTTGCGGTTTTGACACCCAGCCTTGGAACTGCAGGGTGGATTGCCGGCGCTGTGGTTTGGAGCTCCCCCTTCCCCCTCCCAGGGAGGGGAGGATTGCACAGACAGTGACGTGGTGACATACTCGTTTGCTCATTTTCATTTGTGGAGTTCTGTCCACTAGTTCAGCTTTCAGTAGCAATATTTTAACCAGATAAAGAGTTTGTTTTGGGGCGCTCACCTTTCTGGGTTCCTGACTTGGTCGATGGCAGACATAGAATGCTTCCAACCACATGGGCGTTTTCTAGCGTCGGCCAGAAAAGTGATCGGATGGATTACGAGAACTTTCAAACCCAGGGATCTCATCACAATGGTTGTACTCTTAAAGTCACTTGTGTTGTCCCATCTTAAGTACTGCTCAGTACTCACTTCCCCCTTTAGAGCAGGAGAGATTGCTGAAATAGAGGGAGTACAGAGAACATATACGGCACGCATAGACACGATAAAGCACCTAATTTATATGGATCGTCTCAAAGCCCTCCAAATGTACTCACTAGAAAGAAGACGAGAGAGATATCAAATAATATACACGTGGAAGATACTGGAGGGCCAAGTACCAAATCTACACAGTAAAATAACACCGTACTGGAGTGAACGATATGGAAGAAAATGCAGAATAGAACCAGTGAAGAGCAGGGGTGCCATAGGCACAATCGGAGAACACTGTATAAACATCAGAGGTCCACGGTTGTTAAACACCCTCCCAGCAAGCATAAGAAATATTGCCGCAACAACCGTGGACATCTTCAAGAGGAAACTAGATTGTTTCCTCCTAGAAGTGCCGGACCAACCGGGCTGTGGTGGGTATGTGGGCCTACGGGCCGCTCCAAGCAACAGCCTAGTGGACCAAACTCTCACAAGTCAAGCTTGGCCTCGGGCCGGCCTTGGGGAGTAAAACAATTTCCAGAACCCCATCAACCAGGTATCATGGGGGGTTTCTATAGGCCATTGCTCCTCATTCCCATGTGAGGGGGCCAGGTTCTGGCTCGTGGTCCCCGGTAGGCCTAGAACTCCATGTGCATTGACTGATGCCAGGATCTAATATATTCATATCAGCCTGGTTAGCTCCAGGGAGCCTTTGGGTCTCGTCCAGAAAATGGCATTTCATTACTTTCAATGCTGGTTTATTTATGGTTTATAGTTGTACCTGATTGTTTCGTGTATTACAATTATATCTGATTTGTGTATAAGTAATATTCTGTATAACATGTATTTTTAAGTTAATATTTTTGGGTAAGTGGAAGAGATTAATTAAATTTACATTACTGTACTATATTTCTTATGGGAAAATTCGTTTCAGTTTTCGAACCGTCTCTGGGAACGGATTAAATTAAAAATGAATGTACCACTGTATATGTATACTGTATACTGTATATAACATTGTACATTACATCAACTCTAGTTGTACATTAGATATTACATCTTCAAATTTTTAACAGGTTGAAGGTGTGCCATTAAAGATCCTGGAAACAAGAGGGGTAGTCTTGGCCAACTTGGTGATCAGTGAGAGGTCTACTGGATTGTACGGGCGGCCTTTGGTAGCACTCGTTCCAGCAAGGAAGGAGGCTATACTACCAGCTAACAATTTTTCGTCAGGTATAAAATTGTATCAGTAGTACAAAAGCATGTTTAAGGGCTTCATGTCCTTTGCTAGAAGTGAGGTAATTTTCCTTTTGTCTTGGGAATTGTTTTTTCCTTTAAAGCATTTTTCCCTCATTTTTGGTAAGAATGAAATGTGTGCTTTTTGGAGTGGGCTGTTTTTAATGTACTGTACCTGATTTGTTGATCTGGGGGTTCATCAGTTCCTTTGTCCTGTAGCCAATTGTGCAGCTGTCTTTGGGCAACTTGTGACTTTCAGGAGAGTGTTCTGTTTCTTAATCCTCTGACCATAAATCTGTGTCCTAAAGCTCGACTGTTGTAGGCCATCCTCTTGGAAATAAAGTTGAGCTTGTTGGGTATCTGTCTTTGTGAACTTCGAGTGTAAATATACCACATAGGTGCCGTTCTTTCTCAATGTGTTCTCTACTAGTATCAAGGTTCACAACTAATTACCTCCTTGATGTCACATGGCCTCTGTGAGTGGTGATGCAGTGGTGTATAAATTGGTGTATACCTTTAAAAATGGGTTCCGTTAGTAGTCGGGCTCGTTCCCAACTCGCAATTGAGAATTCTTGAATTCTTGGTTTGAATCCTGGTTTGGACAGGAATAGTTGGGCATATTTCCTAAAACCTAATGGGCCTGTTCATCTTGTAGTGAGTAGGTACCAAGAAGTCAGCTTGTTGTGGGATTGCATTCTTCGGGGGGGTGGGGGGTGGGGGGGGAAGTTCTGTAATTTAACCTCGGGGAGGAGGGGGATGGACTTCGATACGAGCCTACTGTGTATAAAAAAAACTCTGGCTGTCTCTTCCCCGACACAATGAATTATTGATATTATCATAGCGTGTTAACACTAGTCACCTCTTCCGAACTCCTGGATTGTGGCATTTAACATTTACGAGTAAGAATCTTCATAACTTTTTCTGTTTTGTCTCCGGATCTACATTACTTTTCCTCTCTTAAAGTGCTGTTGGGGTGCAGCTACTAAGCAATCCAACCTAGAAATATAGCTGTTTTACCAGGGGTTCCCAGACCTTAGGCTTTATGCCTTAATCCTCAAGGCCAGGCTGTCAGGCTGTATCTTGGGGGTTTCCTGGTTGTGTGCTGCAGCCTTCTACGTCGTTTCCTCTCATCCTTTCACTCAGGGTGATCCGGGCCTGTCGTGCTGTGCACCCTAGTACTTTTGTCTGTGTGCCTTCACATTTGGGCTCAGTTTCTCAGGCCACTGTTTGTTTGGGAGTTCTGGACTTTGAACCTCCATGCTAGGTACCCAAGGTTGTGTTCCTTGGGTACCCAGCATGGACAGACATGGGTCCCTTGGGACCCAGGTCTGGGTGTTCTTGGTCGCCAGACTGTGGGGTCCAATTTTGTGGCCCTTGGAATGTTGCTGTGTGCCTTGTGTTTGGATGTGTGCCTTGGGCATCCAATCTGTGTATTCCTGTTGTTTATTTTGACTTAGTTGCTCATTTATCCAGGTTAACTGAATGGTGGGAGTTTCCTGTCCACCTTGGATGTCCTTGTCTTTCCTGTCCTTCATGTTGGGTTCCCAGTTGTAAGTACTCATTGTTTGGTATCATGGAGAGGGTCAAGATACCCCTGGCTTGTGTTAGGGGCCCCACCTGGCTCCTCATTTTTCTTTGTTGGACGAATGCATTGTGTATGTGTTGGCTGGTGCCTTTGCCAATTTTTGTGGCAAAAATTGGACTCTTGTCTTGGATCTGATAGTTTCTTTTCTGGCAGTGTATTTTGTTTGCTTGTGTCTTTCATGTTGGGTTCTCATGGCCCTCTCTTGGATCTAGGTTTAGAGTTTTTGTCTCTACAATTTATTTTTCTGGCTTCATTCTGTCAGACCTGAGATCCTGAGTGTTTTTGGGCGTCTTACTGCTGGCCTGTAGCCCTTTTATTTCTTCCTGGTTATTCGATGATTTCTTTCCTAGGGTTTGTTTGGGTTTGTGGTTTTCCTTGGAGTTCTCTGTTTCCCTGTAGGGTGTACAGTGTCTATATTTGGGCTACTCTTCATTTTTGTCTGGGATGGGAACTGACAGGATTTTATTTCTGCTGGCTGTTTTTTGCCTTGCTTGGCTGGCATACTGTCTACTTTTTCATGTAATTTTCCTATCCTTGCATACCTCTGGGCCACATTCAAAGCTTTCTTGGCTGTTTTTATCATCGAGCTCTTCTTCGGGCTTGGGGTTTCTGGTGGTTAGACAAGGCATTAGTTGCTCTTGGTTGTCCCAAGTTTTTGCCTTGTTTGTATTAGATTTAGGATGGTGACACTTTACTGATACTATTCTTTGCCAAGCCATTGTCTTAGAGTAAGCTCCTTGCCTGTTAGCTTCATATTTTGTTACCACCATTGTTTAAGCCCCGAGTAGCTTCTGTGGGTAAAGCACAGAAACAGTGTACATCATTGAGTAAAATAAAACATTCTCCATTCCCACCCTTTTGTCCCTTTCTATTCTGTGGTGTTTGGGACGTTTTGGGTGGAACATAGGTGAGAAGGGTGGCTGGGTTGCCTCCTGGGGGAAGTTGGAACAAGGATTGTTTACCCATTGCCAACTATCTTTTGACACAATTTCTTATTTCATTCCTTACTTCTTGAGCAGAGGTTTATTTTGTTTCACCGTGGATGATTTTCCTTGGTTATGGGTTAATCTTTGACCTCCACGTGCTCCTCTTGCTTCTGAGAGAATCAGAATCTAGTCTGGGTTTCCAGTAGGCCATGAAAGCCACAGGAGCATAATTTGAAGAGAATTCCTGTGTTACCATTGCCCTTAGCTCTTAAGTCCCTAGGTGTTGCTGAGATGCCATAAAGAAAGTAGCATTTCATTACATTAAATGTTGTTTCTGTATAATAACTTTATTTTTCTTATGTAATACTGTAGCAGCTTTTTGTTTTTCACAGGTGATATTGTGGGTGTACACCAGTCTGGGCTAGAGCAAAATGGTCAGATTACAACAGGAGTAGTGACCAACGTGTCTCAGTCATCCATTCGTATTGTTATTGATGAGGGTGCGGAGGAGTTGGATACCATTGGAGATGATGTCAAGTTGCATTTGCACAAGCTGTGTAATGATGTATGTAACTTGCAACAGTAGAAGTCAATTTCTCATAGTTTATTCTGATCATTTAGTAATGCTATTGTTATTTTGTATTTTATCTTTCATAATCCCTTGAGTAAATAATCAGTATCAGAATTAGATGTTTTAATTGTAGCACTTTGTCTTTGAAACAATGCCTTTCCTTAATTAGTGTTTTGTGTATGTGTAGTTTAAAAAGTTTGTGTTAATGATGGCAATGATGATAATCATCATTGTCAATTATCTCAATCATCAGTCATCATGAATCATTAACCACCACCATCACTGCCACTGTGATGACAAGTTAAAGGATCCTCTCAAACATGCTATAATTACTACATACAAGATACTGAAGGAAATAGACATGGTGGATAAGGACAGCCTATTTAAATTGAGAGGAATTAGTACAAAGGAACAGCAGTGAAAGCTGAATGTGCAGTTGAGTTACATATATGCAAGGAAGTTCTAATACTTTGTATGGATGGTCAGCAAGTGGGTACCTCAGGATGGATTGAGCTCCTCATCCCATTTTATAGGTTGGCATGAAAGTCTCACCTCACACTCACCAATCACTTAGTTTTTGGTGGAATTAAAAAATGCAAGGAGAAATCTGGGATTTTGCTTGTGTGGTGAGACAGATGTCAGGTCAATTTCAATTACTAAAACTGACTATGAGGGATTAACCACTGTGATGTGCCGAGTGTATCATGACATTCCCCTGTGTGCATAAAATCGAGTGTCTGCCAAATTTTTTTTTTTTTTTTTTTTTGTAAAATGATAAATTCCCTTCTCTGAACACGTACATGTAAAAAACTAAAAAAATCCACTTACTTTTGCTGTGCGGATGTGGAGAAGGGTCACAGGCTAGTCACCCGTGCGTGAAGCTCCCAGAGGCGGTTGTGCCATTCAAGCACCGCGAGTAGCCACAAATATTTTTTTTTTTTTTTTTTTTTTTTTTTTTTTTTTTTTTTTTTTTTTTAGATATATACAAGAGTTGTTACATTCTTGTACAGCCACTAGTACGCGTAGCGTTTCGGGCAGGTCCCTGGAATACGATCCCCTGCTGCGAAGAATCGATTTTTCATCCAAGTACACATTTTACTGTTGCGTTAAACAGAGGCTACAGTTAACCCCTTAACTGCGTTGCCTCCAAATGTGACACCCCCGCAGTGCGCAGGAAATAAATTCTCTGGAAAAAATTATTTTTTCTTTTTAAAGTGTCAAAAACCCTTCCCTCAGTATGGGTATGTAAAAAAAAAGTCGAAAATGTACTTACTTTGGCTGCTATGGGGTCCGGAAGTTGGTCCGTGACGTCATCATTCCCCGTGCACCCATGCCGTAAGCTCTCGGGGGCGGTGGGGCGCTCGGGGCGGGGCGCGCGAGTTGCCGCGAATATATTTTCGTTCATTTTTTGCGCACCTTTCCAAATACATTTTCATTGTTTTTATGTGCCAATCCAATGTATAATGAACACGTACACTATAATATCGCAGTACAACATCCGTACTGTCCGTAGACACTGTGTTATGTGCATGAAACTTGTGTACACATGCAGCACATATTTACTATGTATCATTCTAATTTGTGTATATATACAATCTATTTACACACTATACACTGTCACACACTATATACATTCACCATCAACACGTTCAGAACACCGCGAGTGAGAGCTGCCACACCCAGACAGCCCTCCCTCACTTCTCCAACATTGTATTTGTCAACTTTGCCCCTCCCATCATACAGTTATTCACACCAATGTTTCATGTTCATTTATGTATATTTACAACATATGTACTCACTATACACTGTCACACACTATATACATTTACCATCAACACATTCAGAACATCGCGTAGCAGCTGCTTCGTATGGGCCAATAGCAGCTGCCTCGTATGGGCCAATAGCAGCTGTCTCGTATGGGCCAATAGCAGCTGCCTCGTATGGGCCAATAGTAGCTGCCTCGTATGGGCCAATAACAGCTGCCTCGTATGGACCAATAGCAGCTGCCTCGTATGGGCCAATAGCAGCTGCCTCGTATGGGCCAATAGCAGCTGCCTCGTATGGGCCAATAGCAGCTGCCTCGTATGGGCCAATAGCAGCTGCCTCGTATGGGCCAATAACAGCCGCCTCGTATGGACCAATAGCAGCTGCCTCGTATGGGCCAATAGCAGCTGCCTCGTATGGGCCAATAGCAGCTGCCTCGTATGGGCCAATAGCAGCTGCCTCGTATGGGCCAATAGCAGCTGCCTCGTATGGGCCAATAGGAGCATTTGGCCATGAACACATTCAGAACACCTCGAGTGAGAGCAGCCACACCCAGCCAATCTCCCTCACTCCAACATCTTACTCGCCAACATTGCTCCTCCCACCATATTGCTATAGTTCTTATTACACATGTTCTATATACCTATCTACATGTTTTATTTACCAGAACTATGCAAGTAAGCCGGTATTGTGTCCAAACAGTACAGTGGCCACCATACACTGCATGACAAATCACAGCAGACGACGCTACGATTACGTCACCTCCCTCACCAAAATAGCTCCTCTCAACATTCTCCTGTTGCTGTTCTTACACTATATACACACACACTATATATACCCATGTACATATGTGTTGCCCATAGCGAACCACTAAGCTAGTATGGTGAGCAAAACAAGAGTGGCAGCCACACACACACAATGAGGCTACCTCATTCTCGCCCTCCCTCCCTCATCAAAATTCCTCCTTCCACAATACTACGCACAACGCTAATTATAACCACAATCCTGGTCACTAATTCCTGTAAATGAATAATTGACCACACGTTTATTTTGAAAAGGAACCTAAGAAATCATTTGAAGATTACTAGATGAACGAAATAATGCTGTGGTGCTGTAGCTAGCGCTGTGAACATCGTGAACAGCATTGAATCACTGATATTTGAACATTGTACCCAGTCATTATCACACTCAAGCTCTAATATAACACTATCATAGCTAAATAATACAAGTTATATATATTTTGACATTATTAGGCGATGCTGTGGTCACATGCTGAACAGCAGTGCTGTGCACTCATGCTGCGAGCGCCAGCCTTGGTTGCTCACACACTACTGAGGCTCCCACACCCGGGAATGTGGACCACGATTTTTTTTAAAGATGGCGTCTGTTTACAAGAGCCCTGAGGAAGCTGATGTGAACCCCATGTAGCCGCGGGAGTTTTGAATGGAACGTGAAAAATACAAATACCCGGAGGCGCGTTGCGCAAACCAGACGTGAGCCTGCAGGCGCGTTGCGCAGTTTAAGGGTTAAGGAATTGCGCCCAGTAAATCCTCCCCGGCCAGGATACGAACCCATGACATAGCGCTCGCGGAACGCCAGGCGAGTGTCTTACCACTACACCACGGAGACTGCTTAATTATTTGTTCCATGTATTTCCAATGCGGTTTTATTTGTTTTTATATTGTGTATGATGCATATTTGTGTCCTTTACAATAAGTATATAGTAGAACATTCATAATGTTCCATGGAACTGTGATACATGTGCCAGTAATGTGTCCACAATAAATGTTTATTGTTGCAATATTACGTGTTAAAATTTCACGAAAATTACAATATGTACAGTTTCACACACTATTTACATAGTAACACTGTATTACACACTCAGTACTTGGAAGCGAGTGATCAACGAAGCCATCCATGGTACACAGCGCAACTTCACTCTCGTTGCACCAGGTACAGATAGATTTTCGCTTTCTGTTTCTTCCTTCTGTGTGCTTGCAAATAACACTCATGTACATCCTTGACTTTAGTACCTGTAGGTGGTATGTAGCCAAGCTTGTGAAGTATAAGGTAGTCTTGAAAGGATTATAGGAAAAGATAAATTTGTAAGGCAGTCTTGAAACGATAGCTTTGTAAGGTCCCTCAGTGTAAGAGATTCAGTCATTCTGGAAGAGATTCAGCTATTCTTTAAAATATCTGTGGAAAACACCACAATGGAAGCCGCTAACTCTGTTCATCTATGCTACTTGTATCTGATGCGTCATCACTGATCCCAGAAAGCGATTCATCTGTGTATCATCTATAAAAATTGGAGATGGCATGGGTGGGCAAGAGTGGCGCTCAAAGCTACAACTGGATATGCCCGCTATATCGTCCTCATCTTAGCTGTATCACTTGCATTCGACCTTTGTGTTAGGTCCTTATTGCTCCTAGCTTCATCAATATCATGACCCTTATGTTCTTCAACAATAAAGTCTGAATTTCACCAACTGAGCGAGATCTTTCAACACCACGTCAGACAGGTGTTTGGGAGCCAGAGCTCCGTGCACCACCCATGGTTGCTCACTCAGTACTAAGCCAGCCAGCAGCCCCAGGACATTCTGGGATTTTTTTTTCAAGATGGCTGCCTCTCACTGGAGGTCCCAAGAGTCCATTTACACAACCAACCGGCACGCATTTTGAATGGGTACGAAATATTTAAAAGGTGTTTTCTCGGTTAGCGCAGTTTCCCACCGACAGAGTTTTCTCGGTGCAGCACAGTGGTTAAGGAAAGATTTGGTGTAAAGATTGGCCAACATTAAATGTAAAAAAGATAGTTCATTTCTGGAGGGGCTCAATGGTTGCTTCCTGTAGCTAGCTCACTTAGCTCCACACATATAAGTCACAACAGTGTTGGTAGTCCTTGATAGTTTACCTGAAACGAGAGCCAGAACCTAGCCCCTCGCACTGAGGCTCAGGAGGCAGGGAATTGTTGCACCCACCCTTACCAAGGAAGCATCCATAAAGAAAGTGAAGCAAAATAAACAACTGCAAGGTTTGCTAAAAAAGAGAGAAAAAAAAGCTGTAAATAACTAAAAAGAATCCACTTAGGAGTTAGGTTGAACCCGAGCGAGGGCGGAGGAGGGTGCTAGGGAATCAAACCCCGAAAAGCCTGAAGAGGTAACCGGTGACACATCCAATGATTATGACAGCAGTGAAAGGGGCTCCCACGGAAAAACAAGAACAGCTTC